TCCTGGTTCTGCTCACTTCACTCTGTATCAGTTCATGTAAGTCTTTCCAGGTTTTTCTGAAATCATCCTGCTTGTCATTTCTTATAGCACAAAAGTATTCCATTACAATCATATACCACAGTTTGTTTAGCCATTCCCCAATTGATGGACATCCCTTTGATTTCCATTTCTTAGCCACCACAAAAAGAGTTTTTATAAATATTTTCATATAAATATGTCCTTTTCTCTTTTTTTTTGGCTGTGTTTGGGAAACAGACCTAGCAGTGGTATTACTGGATCAAAGGGTATGCCCAGCTTTATAGCCCTTAGAGCATAGTTCCAAATTGCTCTCTGGAATGGCAGGATCAGTTCACAACTCCACCAACATTGCATTAATGTCCCAGTTTTCCCACATCTCCTCCAATATCTAACATTTTCCTTTTTTATCATATTAACTACTCTGATAGTTATGAGGTGGTACCTCAGAGTTGTTTCAGTTTGCATTTCTATGGATAGCTTTGATTTATTTGTCTGAAAACTGCCGGTTCATATCCTTTTACCATTTATCAATTGAGGAATGATTTGTAGTCTTATAAATTTGAATGAGTTCTCTATATATTAAAACAATGAGACCTTTATCAAAGGTACTTGTTGCAAATCCCCCCACCCCAGTTTTCTGCTTTCCTTATAATTTTGGTTGCATTAGTTTTGTTTTTGCTAAAACTTTTTAGTTTTACATAATCCAAATTATCTATTTTACATGTTGCAATGCTCTTTATATCATCTTTGGTCTTAAATTCTTCTCTTATCCATAAATCTGACAGATAAACTATTTCATACTTTTTCAGTTTGCTTATGGTATCACTGTTTATGTGAAAATCATGTAGCCATTTTGACCTTATCTTAGTATATGGTCTATATGTTGGTCTGTACTTAGTTTCTACCATAATGTTTTCTAGTTTTCCCAGCAGTTTTTGTCACATAACAAATTTTTGTCCCAACAGCTTAGATGTTTGAGTTTATCATATACTAGATTACTAGTCATTTATAATCATTTCCTATAACGTAATTTGTATCTAGTCTATTCCATTGATCCATCGTTCTATTTCTTAGCCAGTACCAGATTGTTCTGATAATTACTTCTTTATAACACAGTTTGAGATCTGGTACAGCTAGACCACCTTCTTCCACAACTGTCCTCATCATTGGTTCCCTTGATATTCTTGAGCTTTTCCTCAAGATGAATTTTATTATTTTTTCTAGCTTTATAAAATAATTTTTTGATAGTTTGATTAGTATGGCACTGAATAAATAGATTAATTTGGGTAGAATTGTCATTTTAATTAAATTGACTTCACCTACCCATGAGCAGTTAGTATTTTTCCAATTGAATGGATCTGACTTTATTTGCATGAAAAGTGTTTTATACTTGTGTTCATATAGCTCCTAGATTTGTCTTGGCAGATAGACTCCCAAGTATTTGACATTGTCTACAGTTATTTTAAATGGAATTTCTCTTTCTATCTCTTGCTGCGGGACTTTGTTGGTAATATATAGAAATGCTAATGATTTCTGTGAGTTTATTTTGTATCCTACAACTTTGCTAAAGTTGTTAACAATTTCAGGTAGTTTTTTAGTTGATTCTCTAGGATTTTCTAAGTAGAACATCATATCATCTGTGAAGAGTAATAGATTTGTTTTCTCGTTGCCTTTTCTAATTCCTTTGATTTCTTTTTCTTCTCTTATCACTATAGCTAACATTTCTAGTACAATATTAAATAATAGAGGTGATAATTGGCATCCTTGCTTCACCCCTGAGTATATTGGGAAGGCTTCTAGCTTATCCTCATTACAGATATTGTTTGCTGATTGTTTTAGATAAATATTACTTATCATTTTAAGGTAAGCTCCATTTAATCCTACACTCTCTAGTGTTTTTATAGGGATGTGTGCTGTATTTTGTCCAGAATCTTTTTTTTTTAATTTTTTTTAAGGCAGTTGGGGTTAAGTGACTTGCCCAGGGTCACATAGCTAATAAGTGTCAAGTGTTTAGTCTGAGGCCATATTTGAACTCAAGTGCTCCTGATTTCAGGGCCGGTGCTCTATTCACTGCACCACCTAGCTGCCCCGGTATTTTGTCAAAGGCTTTTTCTGCATCTATTGAAATAATCATATGATTTCTGTTGGGTTTGTTACTGATATTGCCAGTTAGTCTGATAGTTTTCCTAACATTGCACAAGCCTTGCATTTTGGGTATACATCCCACCTGGTCATAGTGTATGATCCTTGTGATATATTGCTGATATCTCTTTGCTAGTATTTTATTTAAATTTTTGCATGAATATTCATTAGGGAAATTGGTCTATAATTTTCTTTCTCTGTGTTGGCTCTTCCTGGTTTAGGTATCAGCACCATATTTGTGTCTTAAGAGGAATTTGGTAGGACTCCTTCTTTGCCTATTTTTCCAAATAGTTAATATATTATTGGGATTAAGTGTTCTTTAAATGTTTGGTAGAATTTGCTTGTGAATCCATCTGATCTTGGGGATTTTTTCTTAGGAAGTTCATTGATAGCTTGTTCAATTTATTTTTCTCAGACTGGGTTATTTAATTATTTTATTTCTTCTGTTAATCTGGGTAATTTATATTTTTGTAGATATTCATCCATTTCATTTAGATTGTCAAATTTATTGGCATATAATTGTGCAAAAGAGCTCCTAACAATTGTCTTAATATCCTCTTCATTGGTGATGAATTCACCCCTTTCATTTTTGATACTGGTCATTTGCTTTTCTTCTTTCCTTCTTTAAAATCAAGTTAACCAGTGGTTTATCCATTTTATTTTATCTATTTATTCATAAAACCAGCTTCTAGTTTTATTTATTAGTTCTGTGGCTTTCTTACTTTCAATTTTATTGATCTCTCCTTTGAATTTCAGGATTTCCACTGGTGTTTAATTGGGGATTTTTAATTTGTTCTTTTTCTAATTTTTTAGTTGTTATGTTGAGTGGGCCATTCTTCCTGGCTCAATGGCCAATCCTCTTTGACACCACCCCCACTACTCCCCAAGGAATCAACCAGAATCAACTGGCCAATCATTTCCTTTAGGAAGGGTGCCAAAGCATGGGCTCATCCCCACATGTGCTCCATGGGACACCACCTTCCCCCAGACCCCAGTCTAGAAGATCAGGTGGATTTCCCCAATTACTTCATTAAGTCTACATATACATATATTGGCAGCTATGTGGTGCAGTGGATAGTGCACTAGGCCTGAAGTCAAGAAGATCTTAGTTCAAATCTGACCTTAGTTACTTACTAGCTGTGTGACCCTGGGCAAGTTGCTTACCCAACTTGCCTCCGTTTCCTCATCTGTAACATGAGCTAGAAAAGGAAATGGCAAACCACTCCAGTACCTTTGCCAAGAAAACCTCAGATGAGTTCACGAAGAGTTGGGCATGACTAAAACAACTGAACAACAAAAAATACAAACAAACATATATATTCATAATGTACCAGTAAAGATGCTTTGTTTCGATTCAGTTCAGCTGAAATAAAGAATGTCCTTGTTTTTGTTTGCCTTTCATACCTTCCTTGTAGGGAGTCACTGACAAATGGAAAGAAGGCTGTAATTTAGGTTGCATCTCATAACTAAAATAAGGCCCTGCTTGGCCACCATAAGGCATGACTGTGTATTTAAACAATAACCGCTGGGGTACTTGGTGTTTCCTGTCAACTAATGACTAACTGGAAAGAGTAGATGCTCCAGCCTGTCATTAATCCCCAGGAAACGGCCCACCCTTGAGTAGGCTGGTGTGGCTATTTTAAGACATCAAGGTTGGCAGCTTGATTGGAGCCTCAGGTGACACTGGTTTCAGCATTGCCTGGTGAGAAGGAAGAGTAAATGAATTCCCCCCAACATTGGTCAAATAGTCTGTCTTAAATGCAGTGAAAATGGGTTTAGAAGATCTTTCCTGGAAGGTGAACAAATCAGTCATTAAGGTCTATGGAATGCTAGAGTTTAGGATATATCTGGTCAGCCCCAGCCCTCTGATCATGTTTGACCTACCCCACGTCCTTCCCACCCCACTCCCATCTTCATGCCATACTTGGGGCTCCTGCTGCCCTCTTCAAACCAGAGTCCAGAGACCATGCCCTGGAGGAACTGAGCTGATCAACTTTAGAGCTCCTGCCCTGGGGCTATGCTAGTCGATGGTTGTTGGTTGTTCTTGACCCCATTTGGGGTTTTCTTGGCAAAGATGCTGGGATGGTTCGCCATTTCCTTCTTCAGCTCGTTTGACAGATGAGGAAACTGAGGCAAACAGGATGAAGTGACTTGCCCAGGGCCACACAGCTGCTAATAAGTGTCTGAGGCCAGATTTGAACTCATGAAGTGGAGTCTTCCTGATTCCAAGCCCAGTGATTTGTCCACTGAACCACCTAGCTGCCTGGGCATGAATGGACAGAAACATATTACCAATGATACCTCGCCCACAAAAAAGGCATAAAAACGTTAACGCAGAACACATATGAGCACAAATGCACAGACTAGTTACAAAGTGAGAGTGCCGGTTAACCCATGGATGTATAATAAAAACCCTCAAATATACTCATTGACTACAGTCAGGTGGGGTAGTGGCTATAGGATTGGGCCTGGAGTAAGGAAGACCTAAGTCCAAATCTAACCCCAGACACTGGTCACCATGACACAGGGCAAGTTACTTATCTTCTGTCTGCCTCAACTTCTTCATCTGTAAAACAGGGATGATAACAACACCTACCTCCTAGGGTTGTTGTGAGGATCACATTAGTTAATATTTGTGAAGCACTTTGCAAAACTTAAAGTGATATATAAATGTCAACCATGATTATTGTGGTGAATTATCAACATCCCACGAAATTCAGAAGAGCTAAATCACAACTGTAAAGACAGATGGAGTAAGCATCCTGTGTCAGCGATGATGTCCTCTCTCGATGGGTCTGATATTGATAAGGGTTCAGCAGTTTCCTTTTGCTCCCATGCAGTACAGGATCGCCATGCAGAATGGAACTCTGGATGGCAGCAGCATGGAAGGGGGCTCCCAGCGTGGCCCGCTGACCCCTCCTAACACACCAGACCCCCGGAGTCCACCCAACCCAGAAAACATCGCACCAGGTAAAGAGCCGTCACCTGCAAGAAAGGTGTGGGGAGCCTGCATTCTACTCACTAAACTGTGGGGCTTTCCCCATCAGATCTCTCTCCCTTTTAGCAGCATTTTAAACTGTAAGCCCAATCCAGACATGGATGATTGAGGCCAATTCTCTCTAGATGTTGGTATCATACTTTTTAAACAATTCAGTCAGTATCCACATTGATACATCCTTTACGTAATAAGAGGTGGCTTTTACATTGTGCTCTAAGGCTTGCAAAAGTGTTTTTCAAATATCACCTCCTTTGATTTGGGGAGACCAGGTGGAACAGTGGGTAGAGAACCCAGCCAGAAGCCAGGAAGACTCATCTTCCTGAGTTCAGCTCTGGCCTCAGACACTTACTAACTGTGTGACCCTGGGCAAGTCACTTAACCCGGTTTGCTTCAGTTTCATCTGTAAAATGAGCTGGAAAAGATAATGGCAAACCACTTCAGTATTTCTTCCAATAAAATTCCAAATGGGGTCATGAAGAGTCAGACATGACTGAACAACAACTGTTTTACAAATGAGGAAACTGAAGCTGAGAAATTAAGTAATATGCCTTGGGTCACACAAGTAATAAGTGTCTGAGGTTAGATTTGAACTCAGGTCTTCCTGACTCCAAGTTCAGTACTTTGTCCACTCTAATACCTAAATGGTTTCACATATTCTCAACCACTTTCCTGCATCATGAGGAGGACTCATAAATACAAATATACTGTCCCATGGGAATGCATGCTTGTGTATGAAATAAAATGAAAAGCAAACCCATGCTCTATAAATGTAAATTAATTGGAAATGTTAGTGAAATCTGAACTATGAAGGCTTTTACCATATCGAAATCCCAATCTGATTCATTTATTAAGTGCCTTCCCTGCGCAAGGCCACTGGGGAAACAAAGTCACACAAAAATGTCTCTGCCTTCACTGGGGATGATGGGGACCATCACTTGCTACTAAGGAAAGACCATCTAAAGCAGGTGATTTGCCCACGTTCATTCACACAGATGCTAAGTGTCCGAGGAGGAATTTGACCCCAGGTCTTCCTGACCCCGAGTCCAAGGCTCTCTCCCATGCTGTTCGGTGTTGTTAAAAACAAGGCAAGGGCCATAGACATGGAACAAACAGTCCGAGAGAACCAAGATGAAGTGAAGCCACCAAGGTGTTGGAACAGGACAAGTTGCACTGAAAAGATACCTTTTAAGATGAAAGATGGAAGGAGAAAAGAAAGGAAGGGAGGTGGGAAGGAGAGCAGAGGGGAAGAATTTAAGATAAGGAGTTTTCCCTAAGTCCCAAGCTCTCACCACCCAAAACTGGATGATGTGGGAGTGGAACCAAGTCTATTCTTGACTTCCTATGGCCTTCCTTCCCAAATACACTGAACTCCAGATTTATACCCAATTTCTTTGTCACTCCTTTTCTATTGCATTTATGACTTTTCATTTTCTCTTTTTGGGTGGAGGACAGATTGAGGCAGTGTGGTTTAGTGGAAAGGTTGCTGGATCTAGGCACCAAGAAGACCCAAGTTCAAATCCCATGCCACATCCTTCCTGGCTGTGTTACCCTGAGCGGGACACTAAGCTCCTCAGAGTCTGTCTTCTCCCCTGGAAGCTTCCACACCATAGCTATCTCCACTGAGGCTCTCATCTCTACCCTTTCCCCACGACAGCTTTAGACTCTGTCCCTGGAACCACCCTTGGCTCTAATCAGTCAACTCTGGTCTTATCCTGTGGGCATCCAAGCCTCCACAGCATCTAGGAAGGCCATATTGCACCCTCTTTTCAGCTCCCTTTTAATGTGTTGTCTGGAAGCTTCTGATGACCAGGGACTTTCTTGTTTCTTTATATTGTCTCCTCAGTACTTAGCATAGTGCCTGGTGTACAGTAACGGTCTAATAAATGCTTTCAAATTGAGACCTGTTAAAAAGCTTCAAAAGGCCAAGGTCTCCCACTGCATCCTAGGCCATCTCCAGTTGTCCTGATCTATATCTTGCCACTGAACCCAGACGACTCCAGAGGAGAAAGTGAGGCTGGTGACTTTGCATGGTCTTGCCTCACTTAAATCCAATTCACTTGCATGTCATGGCAGCACCTCCCTGATGTCATGGTCCTCTTTGAGAATGAAGGACAAACAGTAACAAACAACAATAATAATTGCTTTATCTATCTATGGTCATCTATCTATCTAAAATAGGGTTAATTCTACATCAAAGAGTCACCATGATTTGACAATGAGATGATGTACATAAAGCAGTTTTCAAACCTGGAAATGTCAGCTGTAAGTAAACGGTCAAAAACAGTCACCATAGGTCTGTGGAGTCTCAAACACAGGGGGATCCCAAGAAGCCTAGAGGCCAACAGACCCTTCCCTCAAGGAGCTTACAATCTAATACCAGAGAAAGTCAAACACATGAGCTAGACTGTCTATATACAACTAGACTGTGTATACATAGCATACATAATAAACCACGTCTAAGGATGGGGATAAGGGATTGGACCTGGGATTTGGTAGGTACAGGGAGCACTCACTTGGGGAAATCCCTCTACCAATGGAGTTGTGTATCTCCTCTGCAAATTTCTGGTCTTAGAGTGGCCCAGGGTCCTTAGAGGAGAAGTAACCCACTCGGAATCATACAGATGTTATGTGTCAATACATACTCTACACACTGGGCCAAACGGTATAGTGGGGAATCCAGTTACAGGCAGTGGAGAATCCCAAACCTTGTTATTAGGTAAAACAATATGAAAAATGAGTGTTTGGGAACAGAGGGTAATCGACAGTGTCAAGTGCAGCAGATGCTGAGGCCTGGAAAAGACCATCAGATTTGGCCTTTCTAGGTAAGATGTTGGGATTTTGTTCAGTCATTTCTGGCTCTTTGTGACCCCCTTTGGGGTTTTCTTGGCAGAGATACTGAAGTGGTTTGCCTTTTCCTTTTCCAGCTCACTTTACAGATGAGGAAACTGAGGCAGACAGGTTTAAATGACTTGCCCAGGGTCACAAAGCTACTAAATGTCTGAGGCTGGATTTGAAATCAGGTCCTCCTGACTTTAGGGCCAGCATTCTATCCATCTCACCACCTAGCTGCCCCATAGGATGCTTTACAATTAATTATTCACTTCTCAAAGTGTCATCAAAGAATTTTTAGTGTGAACTCCTTTTGCCAATATAACAAATCCCTAAAGAGTTCACAGACCCCCAAACAGGAATCCCTGGGCCTTGAGACCTCTAAAACCCCTTCTCACCCCAAGTCTATGATATGGTAATTTAGGAGTGTTGGGAAAGGAGATGGGCATTGATTAGGGGAGAGCATTCTGCGAATTAAAAATCTCTTTCTCATCCATAATTCTACGTATTTGCTTTTCCATGTGTGTCTCCATATATTTATTCTTTCCAGATCTTGTCTTAGAGGTATAGCCTATACTAGAGAGTCAAGCCAAAGTACATGTGTCAAGTTCCCAACTTGGTACTGGGTAGAAGATGCAGACGTGAGTAAGACACACACAAGCAATTCATCATTGGGCAGGGAGTTCAAGACAATTAGTATGAGCTGGGATAACTGTCACAAAAAAGGGAGAGACAGAATGTTAAGGTAGTTCTGACTGGGAAGGTGAAAGAAGGCTTCATGGAGCAGGTGAATTTTGAGTTGGCCTTTATGCATGAACAGGATTGTGACAGGCAGAAAGATTCATGACGAAAGGCATTCCAGGTAGAGGGAATCACATGAGCAAAGGTGTGTAGGCAGGAAAGTACTGTGAAGATTGGAATTGTGATGAATAGTTGAGTAGTTACTGCCCTCTTGACAAATCATGTATGAAGAATAGTTAGTAGTTTTACAAAGCTGAACAGAGAACAATGGAAGCCCTAAGAAAGGATAGTAATTCTATGGAATGCAGGCCAATGGGTACGGGAATTAGTGTGACTTCAGCAGAACTGGCGCTACCTGGCCCTGGGAAGGTGAGGGCACAAACACCCGTTACTAGTTACACAAAGAGTGTGTGGCAAATGTTTAACAACCAGCTGGGGGGGGATGTATGGGTGACACACTTAAATTTAATGTGGATTATTAACATTTTCTCCATCACTTTAAGTCTAGATGATCAAAAAAAAAAAAAAAAAACAATGAATCAAGCCTTCATTTATAGCATTTGCTGATTTCTCAGGTGTAAATGCTCACACTGGAAATTTAACAATCCATCCAAGCTGGTTGGAGCTGACTCCAGGACATCTTTGCTACTAGGATGATGTAAAAATGTCGAGGCCAGCAGTCAGAGAAAGAAAGAAGAATCCCGGTCAAGGGATTAACAATCAGTGGGGTTCAAGTTCAAATGCGGACTGAGGTTGGGGAGAGGGAGACGATTCAGAACATGGGCTCAAAGGTCTAGAACTGAAAGGGACTGGTCAATACCCTCATTTTCCTAAGGAGCCTCAAACCCAGGAAATTAAGCAGCTCGCCCACAATGAGTGAGTATCAAAAGCAAGATCTGAACCCCAATCCTCTGGCCCTCCAAGGAAGCTGGGTGAAACAGCACATATGGTCCTGAGCCTGGAGTCAGGAGGACCTGAGTTCAAATCCAGCCTCACACTCTTACCAGCTGTGTGACTGTGAGTGAGTCACTTAGTTGCTGTCTGCCTCAGTTTCCTCAACTGTAAAAAGGAACGATAATAGCACCTGTTTGCCAGTGTTGTTGTGAGAGGTTGTTGTTTGAGGTTTTTTTAATTATTTTAACTTTTTAAAATTTTAAATATTTTATTTTTTAAATTACATTTAAATTTTTTAACATTTGCTTTTTTAAAATTTTAAGTTCCAAATAATCTCTCTCCTTCCCTTCCCCCCTCATTGAAAAGGCAAGCAACTTGATAAAGGTTATATGTGTGTAGCTAAGTGGTGCAGAGGATGGAGCCCTGGGCCTGGAGTCAGGAAGACTCATCATCCTGAATTCAAATCTGGCCTCAGGCACTGACTAGCTGCGTGACCTTGGGCAAGTCACTTAATCCTGTTTGCCTCAGTTTCTTCATCTGTAAAATGAGTTGGAGAAGGAAATGGCAAATCCCTCCAGCATCTTTGCCAACAAAATCCCAGATGAGGTCATGAAGTCAGACATGACTGAAAAATGACTGAACAGCAACAAATACACGTGCAGTTATACAAAACATATTTCCATATTAGTCAGTTGTAAAAGAAAACACACACACAAAAAAAAAACAAGAAAAAAAGTTTAAAAAAGTGTGTTCCACTCTGCATTCGGACTCTGTCAGCTGTTGCTCTGGGGGTGGGCAGCACTTTTCATTGTGAGTCCTTTGGAATTGTTTTGGATCACTGCATCCCTGAGAACAGCTGTCATTCACGGTCGGTCATCATGTGGTGTTGCTGTTACTGTGGACGATGTCCTCCCGGCTCCGCTCATTTCACTTTGCAAGAAATAGTATTTTTAAAGTGGCACATAGTCAGTGCTTAATAAATACTTAACACTTTTCCTTCCCTTCCCTCTCTCCCAGGTTCTTTTGTGACTTGGGATGAGAGCTAACTTGGAAATATGCCCAAAGTCCTAGAATGAGGTTGCCATAGATTTAGAACTTGAAGGGTCATCTCATCCAATCCCTCATCTCACAGGAAGAAGGGGGATGGATGGCAACAAGACTTTATGAAGGGCCTACTATGTGTTGAGCCTGATACACACTGCACCAAGGGCTAACAAAGGGTTTGCCTGAGATCTCCCGGGTGGCAAGTTAGAGAACCAGGATCCGAGCCAGGATTTTAACTCGGGCTTAGGATCTCAAATGTAGCACCGTTACCTTCCCACCACACCGTCCCTCTCACACCCAACAATCCAGAACAATTTCATAGACTGACAGCTCACTCTACTAGTGCACATTTTCTAACTTCTTTTACAATTGATTTGTGAATGCCAGCCCCAAACTCTTACAAGGCCACTTCCATTTGGTACAGGCGCATGCCAAAGAGTTGGAAACAGCTGGGAGCATCTCAAAGTTTCTGAGCAGGGGACCGATGACATTTGTGGAAAAGGAAAAGTTATTGTGTGAAGGATGGCAGACCTCCCCGGACCATACTCCTGGAATACTGCTGGGTGGGCTGGGGAAAGTACTTGAAAGCATTTTCTATTCCCCCTTCTCTTCTGGAAGGGACAGAGCTGAATCTTACCCAAGCTTCTCCAAATCTACCCTCCCGCCTTCCTTATCATGGAAAGACAAGGGGCCTGGAGATATAATTGGACACACCCAGTTACAACAATGAGCTTGCTTTGGGGGGCAACAGAAGTGATTTTCTATCTCACGGCATTTATATCAGACACAAAGTTATTAATACAATCACAACAGTCACTATCTCTGACTTCTATACATTTTGGAAAAAATCAGGGCATGGTAAACTCTCAGTGAAAAAAAAAAATAAAAGCGAGCAAAGTGTAGCCCAATAAAAGCGAGCAAAGTGTAGCCCAATGCCCATTACTAGAGAAGGGAGGGGAGCCAGGGAAAGCACTTTCTTTTGGAACGTCCCTCAGTCCTTGAAGAAGCGCATCCGACTTTGGTGCAAGTGCTCTGTTCTGAGATATCTGCAGGGCCCAGTGGCCCACCTGGAGCTCAGCCTCCTCTTCCAGGCTCAGCTGTCTTTTCAGTTTCTCCTTTTGCTTGTCCCTATGTCATGCATTCTTTCCATCTCAGCTTAAGGCCAGAGCAGGGCCAGGCCAGGGCGGCTCCCTACAGCTGTCGTCACTACAGCTCCTTCCTCTTCATCTGTTCTCTGTCAGGCTGTGGGTCTGTTTGTTTAAACTCCCAGCCAGGCGTGACTCAGGTCCCCTTTCTGGCTTAAAGATTATGATACTCCAAAACACTCTTAGGGAATTCTTGTCCCTTTGAATCACAAATCCCAGAATGCCATCCCATTTTCAAAGGCCTAGTCTCCAGCCATAGAATATTAGAGCTGGGAGGGGTCAGAAAGACCATCCCGCGAGGCAAAGTCCTTGATTTTGCTGTGTGTCCTTCGTTCTCAAAGAGGACCATGACCTCAGGGAGGTTAACTGGACTTAAGGGAGGGAGGGCTGGGGGCCCAGATTGGCTCAGAATGAATGTAAATAGCAATTGTTTCTGGTTTGGCCCATATTTTACAGAAGGGAGAGATAAGGTCAAGAGAGAGCATGAGGAAGGAGCCAGAGGCTAGAACTTTGTCATAGGAATAAGAGAAACGGGGAATGATAAATAGAATAGGAGACGGATTTTGGGTGACTCCTTCAATGTGGGATGCTCCTGGTGTGGAACAATCTCGCCTGATGCAGATTTCCTCCTCATCTGTGTCTCAGAGTTTCCCTGGGTACTGGGCAGTTTTGTCGATGGTCACCCAGCTCCTATATATCAAAGGCAAGACTTGAACCTAGCTCAGAAGTGGGGAACCATAGGCCTCGAGGCCACCATGGACCTCTAGGTCCTCAAGTGAGGCCCTTTGACTGACTCCAAACTTCACGAACAAGTAGTTTGGATTCAGTCAAAGGGCGGCACTTGAGGACCTAGAGGGCCACGTGTGGTCTTGAGGCCACAGGTTCCCCACCCCTGACCTAGAGGCCCTGATCCCATGGCTGGCCTCAATCCAACATACTATACTGCCTCTCTGGGCAAGGGGCAAGAAGAGAAGCCAATCTCTAGGGAGCTTTTCCAATCTAAAAGATCAGAAATAATCTAAGTTAGGAAAATGGTGCCTAATCAAAATTAAATTGAAATTAATAGAATTTCTTCTCTCGCATAGTACAAATATGTTATTACAACCAATGGGTAAGGAATTTTTTGGCTTGGAATGATAATTTTTCAAGCTTGTATGTTAAGAAAATTGATCATTCTTTTAAATAAAATCCAGGAGTCTAATTTTTTTTTTAAATTATAACACTTTGGATTACAGTTTTCATGGAGAATCATCAACAGGATGTATATTTCACAAGTTTATTCTAGCACCGTAAAAATAACATAATAAAATGTTCATTGTTGCTTAGCAACCCCTAGATATTCTGTGTTTACTTTTTCTCATTATATTTTTCCAAAGGATACTCTGGACCGCTGAAGGAAATTCCTCCTGAGAGATTCAACACCACAGCTGTCCCTAAGTACTACCAGTCTCCTTGGGAGCAGGCCATCAGCAATGAACCAGAGCTGTTGGAGGCTTTTTACCCCAAATTCTTTAAGCCTGAAGAAAAGGCAGAACTCCCAGACTTCCGAAGTTTTAACAGGTAATACACCTCTCCCGGTTAAGAACAGCTATGTGGAATATCCATTTTTTACATCAAAGTGCAGAGAACAGAACATTCGATAGCAAAATATTTTTGAGCATCCCATTGAATGGGGGAGTGTTTGCCTTTTAGGTGTGCTCCCACCGGTAATCTGGACAGGAAAGGTGACAGGCAGGAGCAAGCTCCAATTCCAGGGCTCTGCCTCTAAGGCACAATCCTGGCTGGTTTGGATGGTACTGTAGGTAAGGAATGTCTCCCTTATGGCCGGAGATTTAGCGGGCAGAGACCCACAGCTAGTACAGCCACCCCCTCCCTAGGCAGGGCTCACTTGTGCCTGTTAGACAGACTCTAGAGGTGTGCTTTGCATTCATTCTTCCTGTATCAAGTTATGGAAACTTGCAGTTGAGAAGGGATTTCCATTTGCTTTCATTGCATTTGGGACCTTCAATTGGAATCTATGCCTGCTCTTCCTTCTCTGATACCTCAGTGGGACTCAGATATGTCCCCCTTCCCTTTACAGAGAGCCACACCCCATCCTCTAATGGCTCCTGATCTTATGTTAATTATAATAGACATTTAAAGAGTGATGGATTTTCTTTTATATAAAGTGGAATAAAATGACATTGTAAAGCTTTGGGCTTTCTCTCTCTCTGAAGCCCAATTCATGTTGGCAGGCTGGGTCCCCAAAGGCTATCTGAGTTATTTGTCCCCTCAAGATTCTCATTTGTCCCCTGGCTGCTTGTCCCCTCAAGATTCTAGGAATAGGGACAGCTAGGTGGCACAGTGAATAGAGCTCTAGCCTTGGAGTCAGGAGGACCTGAGTTCAGATCCGGCCTCAGACATGTGACGCTTACTAGCTGTATGACCCTGGGCAAGTCACTTGACCCTGATTGCCTCACCAAAAGGCAAAAAAAAAAAAAAAAAAAAGATTCCAGGGATAATACTGAGAGGCTGTGTCAGATGCATGTGTGTGGCAGCCATACTACACAAGCTGACAAGCTTTGACCACTGTGTTCCCTCTATGGTCATAAGTGGATATCAATCAGTCAGCCAGACAATTAGCTTTTAGTCTTTACAAAGGCAATAATAAGAACAATTGGCACAAAACTTTGCTGCAAGAGTCTGGGACACATTCTCCCATAGGTACCTACAGAGTCCAAGGGAGAGTGGACCTTGGCTTAGGGCCCGGGCAGTAAACAGGTAGCTCCCAGCCCCTGGTTCCTGGAAGGCCTATTTCCCCTCGTTGAGTCCTCATAAGGTTCTCTCTGGGCACGGGCTAGCTTTCTGAAGGGCCCCTAGAAGAGTCCTGAAACTGCCTTTCCTACAGGTGCCATCTGACTTCAGCTCTCATGGGAATGCTCTGGTCATTTACTAAACATTTACTGTGCGCCAATACCTGGGGACACAAATAGAAAAATAAGACAGACCCTGATCTCAGGAAGACTTGGGGGGAGACAGCATGTATAGGAAGGAGCGCCTCTGGGTGGGAGGAGAGGCCAGAGGTCTCCTGAGGCTACAGTCATGCATCACCACTTAACGTGGATTCAGGACACCTAGATTTGAATTCTGGATCTGATATTACTAACTATTATGGGGAAAAAGGACAGTATTTTTTTCAAAAGAGGAGAAAGATATCCAATTTATGGGCAGACTAACAAAAAAAGAGAATATTTGCAAAAATAAAGCCATATAATAATTAATAATAATAATAGCTAATGCTGAAATAGTGCTTCAAGACTTACAAAGCACTTTATCTGTATCATCTCATTTGATTTATGTGTGCTAGAACTTATTAATTTTATTTAACAAAATTATACTGTTTATCTTCTGTTAGCCTCTCAATAATCCATTGTTTGGTCATGAACTTGTCTCCTATCCATAGATCTGATAGGCAAGGTTTTTTTTTTTTTCCCCACGTTTCCCTAATTTGTTAGCGTTCTGACCTTTCGTATCTAGGTCATGCACCCATTCGGCACTTATCTTGGTATAAAGTATACAATGTGGACCCAAATGGGCTCCCCAGCACTTCTAATCATCACAGATTAAAGTGCTCAAATGTTAGTTAAATGCATTTAACAAGAAATCATTTGGTACTTGCTTATCTGAGTGAAACTGAAGTCTCTTATCTCATAAGGTTTTGGCTTTGAAGGGGAAATTTAGACATCACCCAGCTCAGGAATTCTTACCATGGGGTCCAGGACCTTTTTTTTAAAAAAATATATTTTAATAACTAAATTCCAATAGAATTGACTTCCTTTTTAATTCTATATATTTCATTTTATGCATTTTCAAATCACGATTCTGAAAAAGGGTCTTCGTAGACTTTCCCAAACTGCCCAAGGGGTCCATGACACAAAAAAGGTTAAGAACCCCTGATCAAGCCCAAGGCTCACATTTTACAGATCAGGAAATGGAAACCAAGAGAGGGGATGGCCGGACCAGGTTCACATAGGGGACTGCAGGTCTCCTCCCATCCACCTGCCTCAAATCCCACCAGAGTCTAAAACTCAATCTAATGAAGTCAACGCCGAGGATGTTTACTGCAAGGAGTCAGGGGTAGAGCTGTTAAATCAGGGAGCAAAAAGTGCTTTGACCAAGACCTTGGGTGGAAATTTCAGTCATATAAACTTTGGGTGCAGCTCAAATCTGTTTGGTGAAACCTCACCTAACCCCACAAGCTGCCTCATTCTGTCCCTGTAACAGTGTGTATCACACATGTGTTTGCTGCTAAGCCTCTGCCCAGTTCTGGGTAGTAAAAACAATGAAGACTTCCAACAAAGGGGAAGCCAGTCCAAGCACATCAACATAACCTGTTATGAAATAGCAAGGAAAGAAGTCTGGCAGCAGAGACCAGACAGTCGGTATTGACCCAAACCCTGCCTTCCCATATCAATCTCATTGATTCAACGGGGAAATATTCTCTCATTTGAGAGACGGGAAAATAACAGCCCTAAGAGGGTGATGGGAATGATGAAGCAAAGATTGATAAGTGCAAAAAATAAGCCCACAGGCCTCATTTCAGGGAGTCAGGAGGAGGGATTGAATATTTCTTCTCTTCTGAGTGAATCCAGTAAAACAAAGATAAAAAATTGTGTATGTGTGTGTATATATGTGTATGTAATGTGTGTATACATATATGTATACACATATGTGTCTGTTTGTATATGTATATACATACATGTATGTGTGTATTATGACCAATTAGATCAATGGATCAAATTCTGCCAAAAGACAGAAAAGCTCAATTCCCACCGTTACAAAAGACAATTATGAGAGAAACTAGGTAAGTTTCTAAAAGACTAGTCATGGTATAGAGCAGTTGTTCTCAGAATATAGTTCATGGACCCCCAGAGGTCCCCAAAACCCTTTGGAGGCAGGGTTCCAAGAGGTCAAAGCAATTTTCATAATACTGCTAGGATGTCATTTGCCTTTTCAAATTCTCCTCCCTTTTCCAACTCTGTATCCATGTGAGGACAGATTGTCTTCATATGCAGGGTGCATATGCTTTTTTGTATGTCACAGGTATTCCCTTCCCCCCCCCTTTAATTTGGTAGCTTACTACCACACTAAGACTTTTGGGACACCTTCTGTTTCAACCAAAACAATGTCCCAACAAATTGAATGCCAAAGCAGCTTTGAATCCAGTTGTCTTCTATTAAGCCAGACAAAATAGATATTGGCAAACAAATATGGAAGAAAATGCCACTCTTCTCACTATTTTTTTTTGTTTTGGAAAACAGTTATTTTTCATAAAAACATGTTGTTTATGTTAACTTGTAAGGGGCTTATTATTACTTTTAAAGGAATTAATAAATATCTTTTAAAATGTATCAGTTTTCATTTCTAAAATAGCAAATTTTGATGGATATAACTCATATAAACAAAAGCATGTTGGAGGGGCTTCAGTAATTTTTAAGAGTGTAAAAGGGTCAGGGCAGCTAGGTGGCACAGTGGATAGAGCACCAGCCTGAGTTCAAATCCAGCCTCAGACATTTACTAGCTATGTGATCCTGGGCAAGTCTCTTAACCCCATTGCCTCAACAACAACAACAAAAAAAAGAGCCTAAAGGGGTCCTAAGACTAAAAAGATTGAGAATTGTGAATGAAATAAAAAGAGCCCTAGAGCTCTCTGGGCCCCATTTCTTCATCCTCAAAATGACAAGATTGCCGTGGCGTAATCTCTATAGTCCTTCCACCTTGAGTTCCTAAAGAGAGAGCTTTCGTTCAAAGCCTATGTTGCATTTTCAGTAGTAAAGAGACTGATCTGTATTACTCATCAAACATTACTCGATGAAAGGTGAGAAATGAGCTCTAGTGGGTGTTTCATTTCTGTGGCATGAAACTGGCTGGACTGGTTTTGTTACCTGCACTGACCAACTGTTTGACATCATACAAACATGGCCTCTGGAGGTGGGGACTCTCTGAATTGAATGTGTCCCATGGGTGGTAGAATCAGGCGATCAGGATTGCAGCTTCAGAGGCACCAGCAGGGTTAAAGACAGTCGCAGTATCTGTGGTCTCTGGGAGAGACGCCTTTGGGAACAAAGGTTGCAGAGGTCATCGAATTAAATTCTCGCCTTAAGCGGAAGGTCATTCTACGTTCCAGGTTATTTCTAAACAAGTGCTCACCCTGCCTTAGCTTGCCCTGTTGGGGGACAGGAGATTGTACCTCTAGTATCATCACCTAAAAGTACTCTACCATCATCCCCAAGAGCCATATTCTCTCAATGTTATACTGTATTTAAGTGAATAAAATAGAACAGAAGACAATATAGTCTCTGCTGTCATGCAGAGATAAGACCTGGATGTCACCGGGCTACCGATAACTGGGATCTGAGAGTGGGTGGGCAAGCCCTAAGAGATTTCCAGGGCCCAGAGCTCAGAGCTGATGGCAGAAATCACTTCTGGGTTGGCGAGCAGTCAGGGAAGTCTCCATGGGGAAGATGGTGCTTGAGGCGGTTGAGTGCTTGAGAGATTTAGAGAAATGCTTTCTCTCTATCAAATTCTTTAGTGTTGACACATCTGAGGACAAATAGGCCAAGAGAAGCATGTACATGTGTGTGAATGTTTATGTAAGCTCTTTCTCTGATACATTTTAAGTCCATCCTATATTTGGAAGGCCCTGAAGGTCTGCCTTTGACACATAATGGCTACACAATTCTGACTGAATCTCTTTAACCTCTCCACGTTCTGGGCAAATCTCCAAGACTAGAAATGGCAGGAAAGGTGATCCGCATTGATGAAGGGAGTTTCCTTACCTGGGGTCCCCTATACCGAGAAATCCAACCCCAGTGCAGATCTGAGGCTCCGTGTTATTTACCACAACAACAGTCTATCTAGAGCAAAACTTCGTAACGTTTTTTTGTGGCCCAGATCTCTTTGGCAGTCTGCTGAGGCCTTTCTCAGAATCCTGTTTTTTGCCTATATTTGTAAGAGAAGAAAATGTGAAATTTCATTTAGGTTAGTGACAGGAAAGATGTCATTTTTGTCCCTGTCCAAGTCCACAGACTCCCCCAAATTTAGTCACAGACCCCTTGGGGGTTAGGGTTCCAATGAGAATCTTTGGCCCCCAGGTTAAATAGCTTTGGCCTGGAAGAATGTCATGAATGAAAACATTTTTAAATGGAGACAAAGAGCTGGTTGTAGTCAGTGACTGTCCTCTCCCATCCTCTGGTGCTGTGGTTGAGCTGTTTCTGTCCTGTCCGACTCTTCGTGACGCCATTTTGGGGTTTTCTTGGCAAAGACGATGGAGGGGTTCGCCATTTCCTTCTCTGCTCCCATCCTCTGCCTCGAACATGAAGAATGATAAACATGATGGCTGGAAGTGTGACTTGGAAAGATTTCCGAGCTCAGAGCCAGGAGTGTTTGAGGTCAAGGCCTGTCTCTGCCACATCCTAGCTGTGTGACCTTGGGCAAGTCACCTCATCTCCCAGGGCCTCAATTTCCTCATGTGTAAAGTGAAGAGGTTGATCTATGGTGTCTGAGGTCCTTTTTGGTTTAGGTCCTTTCTACATCAGAAGTAATCAGACTTTTCTGTATTTCTCTCCACTCTCTACACAGAGTTGCCACACCATTTGGAGGGTTTGAGAAAGCTTCCAAAATGGTCAAATTCAAAGTTCCCGATTTTGACCTGCTCCTGCTAACAGATCCCAGGTTCGTGGCTTTTGCCAACCCTCTTTCCAGCCGTCGGTCCTTCAATAGAACTCCGAAAGGGTGGATATCAGAGAATGTTCCCATAGTGATCACGCCAGTGCCAGTAGAGGAGAATATGGTGCCAGAAACAGATGACCTGTAAGAAGAAGCAAAAGCTCTAAAGCACCATCCCCTACAACTTACCATCTTACCAGGATGCTTAACAACAGATGCTCCTTGTTTGCCTTAGAATCGAATTGGTAACCATTTAAACTGCAATACTCCAAATTTTGTTTCATTTACACATAGAATATTAATAAAATCATTAAGGACCTGGTCAGCAAAGTTGCTCATCTCGTATGTTTTCATTCATATTTCTTGTACCTGAACAGGATATAAACAGAATTCAGTCTTTAATTAGCGCAATCACTATATGTATAAATAAATATATTTTGACTTAACACTCCTGTGGAAGGGGTGAGAAAAGAAATAAAGAGAAGTTCAGGTAGGTGACTTAGAGGAGTTTGGACCAGTGAAGTAGGTCAGATACTGACTTGGGGGAGAAGAAATCAGGAAGACATTGAAGAAAATTTGAAGATAATCCAGACACTTGTCTAAGTTCTACTTCTGAGTGGAAAGAAGGATAAGAGTAGGGCTGTTTAAGAAGTTAATGAAAGGATTCAGGAGGGTGGAGGAGGCATTAGGGAGTAGAAGCTGGATAAGTAGACTCGGGTAGGTTCAGGAGAAGATCTTGGCAAGATGAAGCAAATTAAGAAAAGATAAATGGAGCAATTGGAGGGCTAAGCAAACTGATAGAGTGAATTGGTGGGTGGGACAAAGTGGTGAAATAGATGGGAGGTTGGTGCCAGACTGAAGGGGAAGTGAGTGTGAAAGTGGAATTGTCCTTGAGACTAAGGAAGGGAGCTTAAATGCAGATGTCAAGCTATTAAGAGGTGATGATAGGCTATAAAAATTTTAGCTAAATGCTTAGGGTCAAGCCGTAAACCCCCTCAAATAGATTTGTTTCGTTTTTTATTTTTAAATAAAGGCTAAAAATTTCATTATGGTAAATAGAAGAAATTATGTAATGACTTCCATCTTGATGATGCAATTTTGTATTTTCCCCAGGAAATATGGAGACTTGGGGGAGTGGGAGGGTGGTGGGGGAATGGAGACAAGGCTCTCAAGACCTGAGCAAATCTGTACTAGGGATAGCCTAAGGAAGGTCTGAAAAGGCTCCTCAGTCCATCCTTATCAGGTAAATCTTCCTGAAGGCTAGATATGAGAAATCACTGGACCTAAGAGCCCACCTTTTCCCAAGAGACCTCTAATGGAGCAGCTCAGGGATCTGTGTTTGGCCCTGTCCTGTTGAACATTTTTATCGAGGACTTGGGTGAAGCATAGATGACAGGCTCAACACATTTGTTCTGGGAAGGATAGCTAACCCAGCAGATGAAAGAGCTGAAATCCCAAAGGATCTTCATAGGTGATAGAATGAATCTGTGTGTTATATGATCAAATTCAAGGGAGATTAAGGTTTGTGCTTGGGTGCAAAAAAAATCCACCTCACTAGTACAAGATACATGAAGCGTAATGAGAGGATATTTATTCTGACAGAGTTCTTTGGGTTTAAATGGATTGTAACCTGATATGAGGTGAGGTAACCCCCAAAGAGAATGGAATCTTAGGCTGCATTAAATGAGGGAAAGCATCTGAAAACAGGGAGGTGACACTCCCTCCGTAGCCTAGCCTCACCAGAACTCAGAAGGAGCATTTGGTTCACTTCTGGGTGCCAGGGTTTAAGAAAATATTTGTAAGTTAGAGAGCATCCAGAGGTGGGTAAGCAGGATGGTAACGATCCATGTAGCATGAGGACATGAACATGGATGTTCCCAGTTGAGAAACTGGGCACGTTTACCCTGGGGGAAAAAACCTGGGGTGGGTGGGGGTAGGAAGAGGGCTTGACTTAATAGCTGTCCACGGATATTCAAGGGGCTGTTATGTGGAAGAGGGATTAGGCTTGTTTTCTTTGGCCTTGGAGGCCAAATGGCTAAAACAATAGGTGGAAGTCTCGGATGCCAATGTAGACTTCATATCAGGAGAAAATTTCGCCCCAAGTGAATGGGTTCCCTTGAGAGGCTGAGCCAGCCTGGAAGGTCTTCAAGCAGAAGCTGGACACCCACTTGTTGGGTCTGTTATAGTAGGGATTTTATTCATGGGTGAGTTAGCCTAGAGGGCTCCTGGTCTCCACCAGCTCTTCAGTACTGGGACCGACAGGAAGAAGTTCTAAAAGTTCTTCCAGGAATTCATGGAGTCTGAGACACACACATCTCAAGGAGGAGACGGGAGGGAGAGGGAGACAGGAAGGTTCTCAATCTACCCCAGTTCCCCTCCCTCACTGCCAACTTCTTACCCACCCCATCTCTGACCCAGGGATGGGATCCTGGAAGCTTGGAATTGGAAGTGACCTTAAAGAACATCTCGGTCCCAACTACATATGAACCAGGAACCTCTCCACAATATACCCAGCACATGGTCAAGGCTTTGCTTCAAATCTCCCTACCCCAGTGCAGAGGGACATGACATAATTGTTATTTTTGGTTGTTTCGATCATGGCGGACTCTTCATGACCCCATTTGGGGTTTTCTTGGCAAAGATACTGGAGTGGTTTGCCATTTCCTTCTCCAGCCCATTTTACAGATGAGGAAACTGAAGCAAATGGGATGAAGTGGGGAGGTTTCTACTTATTTTGAATCCAAATTGTCCTCTTTACACCCCTGCCCACTTGGTAGGAGTAGTTGTACCCCGGGAAGGTCAAACAGACCAAATCTAATCCCTCCTTCATGTGTTGCCCCTTCAACTAGTTGAAGGCACCTTTTTTTTCTCCCTCTTTGATAACCACTGAGTAAATGAAGATGAAAACAAAAGCTTCTAGGTCTCAAGAGCAACATCATTGTGGTGCAGTGGAAAGGGTTCTAGGTCTGGAGTCAGAGGTTCTAGGCTCAAGTTTTGGCTCTGCTACTTAGTATGACCTTGAACCAGTCACTTAACCTCAGTGGGCCTCCCATCTTCATCTATAAACTAAGGGGGTCAGACCAAATGACTGCTAAGGTTCCCTCCAGGCATCTTCCATTGGCGCAGGAGTCTATGCCTTCCTGCTGCTGCCTCCTAGCCAGCCTCCTCAGGTGAGAAGACCTCATAGCACAGGTGTGTGAGGGACTGTCTGATGTTGGCAGCTACCAGGTTGGGCGCTGTGGCAAGAGTAGGGTAAGATCTGGGTATTTTGGAAGTCGAGGCAGGGACTGTGGTAGGCGGAGTCGTGGTGAACTGGGATGGGCTGGATACAGAGAAGCCCTGAGGCAGTGGGCAATGCTATGTGAGATAAGCTGGGTACAAGGAAGTAGTGGAGCTTGAGCTCCTGAGGCAAGGGGCGGTGCCACGTGGGAGTGGGACGGCAGAGGACTGAGTTCCCTTTGCTTAGTCCCCTCCCTATATGCAAAGTCATCCCCAGACGCCTCTTGTGACCTTCCTGACTTCCTGGGTCCCTTTGTGCAGCACTGACCCCAGTCCCCTCCCCCCAGTATTCTGAGTCTGACTTCCTAGGTCACGTACTCTGTCTATGCGCTAATCCCAGATGCCTCCTCCCTGTATCCGGTCCTAGCCTCCCACGTCACTCCCTCCCCCTTGGAGTGCTAAACTCAGACAGCCCCTTGCGGTATCTGACCCTACAATCATTGGCTAGTAAGCAGGCTGGGGAGGAGGGGCTAGGTAGGTACTTAGGATGAGCGTGGTCAGATCACGCGCTCTCTCCTGGCTCCTGCCCTGTTGCTCTGGCCTTGCTGCTTGGGCTTGCTATGATGGCTTGCTGTGATGGCCTCTGAATAAAGCTCTGGTGTTGGCGCCTCCTGATGGCTCGTCTCTGTGTGGTTATCCAGCAGAGGACCGAAGACTCGAGTGTGAGTATGACTCTAGTAGTGTGCTCCTTATAGGAGGAGCGGGTACCGGCGTGCGGCCGGCAGAAGGTCGGCGTGCGGCCTGTACACAGGTGCACTAGGGCACATCAGTGCCCTGAGGAAAGCTGCTTAGGGCCAGGCCAGCCGTTTTCCATCTGGCCCAAAGCAACCATTTCCATTTGTAACAGAACAAGGCATCTTCTACCTTCTATCGCCAGTTAATCTCCCAACTGCGGTATTGTGTAAACCAGCTACACCAGCCCTGTACTTAATGAACATTCTCATATCTGGTCATGCCCTTCACATCCCAGTGACTCTGAGATCCCATAGATTGTCTTCCAAACCCCACTCCACATCCCCTATCACCTGATTGCTCATCCCCATCCGCCTCAACCTACCACTCCAAAGTTTCATCCTAACTCCACCCAGCCCTTCCACTACACCCTCTGAAATGCCTGTTCCTTAGACAACAAACTTTTCTTCATCTTAAATCTTTTCCTCTCCTCTTCCTTCCATCTACTAAGTCTTGCTGAAACCTGACCTTCCCCAGCTTCCCTGGCCGCCCTTTCTAGTACTGGCTGTAGCTTCACTCATTCTCCTTGGCTCTCTGGTTAAGGCGGGGGAGTTGGAATACTCCTTGTTCCTCATTGCCACTTCCAGATTCTCCTCCTTCCTCCGTCACTCAGTAATCTCTTCCTTTGAAGTCCATGATATTCATATCCACCATCAATTCAAAATCCTGGTAGATTCCCAGGTCTACAGACTTTCCTCAATGAGTTTGATGCCTGGTTTACAATTTTTCTCTCCTCCCTAACTCCTGCCCTCGTGCTAGGAGACTCCAACACAATACTGATTCACCCTCAAATACCCTAACCACTCAGCTCCTCACCCTACTCTCTTCCCATGAGTTGTTCCACACACAAAGATGGTCATACCCTAGATCTTGCCATCATCCACAAATGAACCACCTCTTTGTTCAAGAATTTTGAAATCCCTTTCTCTGACTATAATCTATTCACTTTTTACCTTTCCCTCTCCCTTAGATAATCCTACTCTTCATCCTTAACTCTGATGCCCTGACTCCTCAATTCTCTCCCAGACCATCTCCTCTGTACCAGCCACTCTCTCCTCTTCTCCTTATCTTAACTCCTTAGTGAACCAATGCAACTCTACACTAACCTCCTCTATTGAATTTCTAGCCCCATTTATCATATCACCAATTATGTCCAACCAAACCTCAGCCTTGGGTCACTCCCACCATTATCATCTTCACACATGTGCAGCTGAATGAAGATGAAGAAAATCATGCGACCTTTCTGACTGGGTCCACTAAAAATTTATGTTACATAACCTCAACTGGGTCCTCACTGCTGCAAG